CCGACGAGGTTTCTATTTCAATATGAAAGAGATTATAGATAATATTTAAAAAAAAACCAGAATACATACAACAGCTAATGATTTGCTATTGACAACAATGTGCACAAATAGATAAGCATTAGCAATGATATCACCACCTATAGTATATAGATGAACATGTCGATAGCCTAATAATAAAAATTTAGTTAATAATTAGAAATAAAATTTTTAATCTAATCTATTTACCAGGCTGAATACAATCAAATGGTAGTGTATATTGTCCGATAAAATCATAATCAAGTGATTCATCATCAAGTACAACAAATCTAACAAGTGTTAATTCAGGAAAAGCTATTTCAAATTCAAATGCTTCATTAAATTGTGGACTTTCACCTAAAGGAAAAAATTTTTTTTTCCACAAAATTAATTTGTTTATCGTAAAAAAAAAGAAAAAAGAGTTCTTATCTTACAATTATGATAAACAGTTTTTGTTCGTACTTCATCACAATCTCTTGGTACACCAAATATTTGTACAACAACGTATGGATCAACAGAATTGGCTTTTAATTCTGCTTGTTCTGGTTTTGGAAGATGTAGTGCACTGATAACCTTTTTTTTATTTTTCGAAAAAAAAAGAAAATTAATTTAAAATAAAAAATAATTTGGCTTGTTTTTTTTGAAATACTTTAATATGAAGTATTTGAGGTGTATTTGACGAATAAAGATTTGTTGAAAATCTTCCACTAACAATTGATGATGAAGCTGCGGCAGCTGCAGCTGCATTATCATAACGTAAATATGTTGGTTTAAGTACATAACCACAACCACCATTACTTAAAAATCGACCAAAATAAACATCCATAAATTTTCCTGCTGTTTGATAATTCATTGCAACTAAATAAATAAAACAAAAAAGAAGATAAATATATTTTTATGCAAAGTTTATTCGAATCTGAATTCGATTCGTTTTTTTTTCTTGTTGTTGTATTCCAAAGTCAATTTAGATTTATATTGATATCAAAGTTATAATTAAGCCTCAAGCAAAACGAGCAATAAGCCATTTAGCTAAAGCATCTATTCACCATATTTATCTCGAAAATATCCATTGATTTTTCTAAATGTTTTTTTATTGTCTTTTCTTTGATTTTAATTACATAAATGATATCAGTTAGGTTTTTGTAAATATTAAACTCACCCATTTGACAACCAACATTCCAAAAATCTTGTGGATTTAAATTTGATGAATCAACACGCCATGTACCAGGAGATATACGTGATAGAAAACGTTTATTATAATTAACAAATTGTTCAGCATCACTGTTTGCTAAACGTAAACCAGCATTTTCACTGAATGTACATACTTGTCCTGATTGTTCTAGAATATATATTGAATCAAAATTTTTCGTTTTTTTGCTTTTTTTTTAAAGAATAAGTTTTTCTTACGTTCACTAAATGATGTATCAAAATCTTCAAATAGTGCTGAGCGAAGTAAACAAACAAGATCGGAAAAAGCACAAGCTAATTTTCGATGTCTTTTACTGTTGATATCCTATACAAATCGAATAAGTTTCATTTTATTTTTGTTTTAGAATATGCGAATTATTTTGCTCAACCTTTTTGGATCGTCTTCTATTATCTTCATAACAATCGTCATCATCTGTTATTTCTCCATATTCTTTATTGATTTCATTTGAAAACGATAAAGGTAATTTTTTACCCTAGGAAATTATTTTAGTTTAAGTAAAAATCAGAATTATTTTCATTTTACTTTAATAATAATTTTTCCACGTAAATCATTTGGCGATGGTAGTGATCGATATTCATTTAATAAAATATTTGTATCCGTTTGTAAAGAATCAAGAAATATTTTTGCACCAAATATTTCAATTAACAATTGAGCTACACGTTCTTGTTGACTAACATTACATTGTAATTCAACACATAATATTAATGGATAACTAAAAACAAAAACAATAAAAATGAAAAATATTTCTTGTTAGATTATTGCATTAACTTACCAGGATGTTTCAAATGCATAATTATTAATAGCTTCAAGTGCTTCATTTAGAGGTATACGAGATGTTAATGTTCCATTATGAATTAATGGTTGACCATCAGGTCCATCAAAACAATGAAGTTCCAAACAACGACAACCACGCATTAATGCATGAATAAATCCATCAACACTAGATGGACCTTTTAATTGATCGGCCAAAAGAAATCTATGAAAACAACAACAATTATATCCCTCAAAAAATCTTTGAATTTATTGGCTTATATATTCAAAATGATTTATTTTTTATTCACACAGACACATCTAAAAATGACTAAGTCTTTTCTAATTATGTAATATATGTAAGTAGGAAACTACTATCATTCTACTTAGATCTGTTTAGACTAACAACTAATATTGTTGACATTCATGATTCATCTTAAATTATTTTCGTATTAACATGCGTTTTTTTTCACTACACAAACTAAATTAATCTAAAATATATTCATACTTCATATCAAATAATAATAATAATAATAATATGTATATTTTCCAATATTAAATTTTAACTGAAATTAAATGGAAAAAATTATTTAAAAAAAAATTTCAAATTAAATTAAATTAATTAGTTCCAACATAAACTCGTAATACAAGTCAAATTTTTCTCGAGCATATTTTCTTGGTTACTTATTTACAATTAATATAAATATTATCATAATGGACTTTTAATTATAAATTTCTCAAAAACAAACAAGCAAAATAGTAATTAATTCGTATTTACGTATTATGTGACGATGCGACAAAATAATGATTAAGTGGATGATTCATATCGTGACATACACTTCGATTATTTGGATTAAATATATCACATTCAGGTGATAAAAGGTAATTAGTAAAACCTTTAAAAATATATATATATATATTTCTTATAAAAAATAAACTTTGTTTTTTTAATAAACATACCATCAATACCTAAATGTCCTAAAAGTTTTGCTTCCGTTGATGGTTCAAATTCATGAATAATTTCTGCACATTTTTCACGCGTTATTTTTGACATCTATTTTTAAAGTAGAGTAAAAGGAAAAAACATCAGAACATTCTTATTTAAATAATAAATTATTTTTACGCCTTGTTCAGCTTCAAGAAATAATGTTAGGTCTTCAGTTGATAAAAAATCTTGATTGCGAGAATATCTTTTGATAGAAAAAATGAAAATTAATAATAAATAAATTGAATACATAATTACAAATTTACCTGACAAGTAAATGATATATTTCTGGTCGAGTTGAAAGTTCTTTAAACACATTAACAAGTTCTTCTGTTGAAAAATATCCACGTGCATCTTCAGATTTCGTTGTTTGCATTTCCTTTAATGAAAATTTTTGTTCTTGATTATTTATCAAACCGAAAAAAAAGAAAATAATTTTACTTGTAATCGAACTTTAGCTTTATCTTCGGAAATTCCATAATCAATTAATAATCGTATAGCTTCTTCTTCATCAATTGAATTTGTTGTTGTAATTGGTCGATCTTCAGTTTGATTTATTTGTTCTGAATCACCTGTTGGTGATGGTAAAACAACTGCAAATGCATCACGTAACCATCGATTACGCATTTGTTGACGATCTTCTAAATCTAAATTTAAAAATAAATTATATATGATTAGTAATTTTTCAATTATAGAATTGAAAAATATTCGTAAGAGTTTTTTGTTTGTTTTTTTTTATTATGCAACAAAAATCTATTATTCCATGTACATAATTTTCTGTAACGAATAGCAGAAAAATTTAGCAAGAGGAATTCATTGAGATATTACACTCATATAACACATTCAAAGTTAACCATTCGGAGTAAACAGAAGAAAAAGACTTTCTAGTTTCCGAACAACAATGTTAATATTAAGAAACCATGTAATTCTATAAAAATCTCACGATTCTATTATGGAATTATACTAATGTCATTGCTACTGAATATAAAAACAAAATATATATTCAATCAACAAGATCATTTTGATTAATTTATATATTGAAAAAAAACATATGCGAATATTTCTATGACAATTGAATAATCATTCTGTTTTTTTTTAATTACCTGCTGCTGACGATGGTTTACCTTGATCGGCAATAAGGCATGATAAACCAGTTACCCATATATTTGCTTCATCAGCACTACTTCCAACAAGATCTAATGAAACATATTGATTATGTTCATTTGTATAAATAATTGAAAAAAGTGATTCATTTTGAAATTGATGTGCACATTCACGAAGACGTTCTGTAGTTTTTCCTAATCGTATTTCTTTTATTGAATCAATAGTAACTGAAACAGAAAACGATAAACAAAATAATAACAAATTAAAATTTAATTTTTATATAAATTTTACTAGTAGCTTTTGATGGTTTTTTTGATGTTGGATACCAACTTATCGCTGTTAATGTATCGTTAAGTTTATATAAACGGCGAAATTGACGTGCATATGAACGAACTTTGAGAAAATCACTTCCTTCTTGCATATAACGAAGACAATCACAAACTAGATAATATATATATATATATATATAAATGTTATTACAATAAGCAATTTGAATGAATACAAACGGAAATTAACATATTAACTAGTAGATTTTTTTTTCTCGCTTTCAACTTACCATCAGCAACTTTTTTTTCAAATGGCATTGTACTAAATGAGACAACTTTTCGTTTTAATGGTTTATTTGTTTGATTTTCTTCATTAATATTTGTCATTACGACTTGATTTTCATCATTTATTAGGCCATCATTATCATTAGGTGCAGTTAATATTTGTTGATTATCATCAATTGTTGAAGAATGGTTATTATTATTATTATCATTATTATTATTATTGTTATTAGTTTTAGCAATAACATCATCATGAAAAAATGCTCGACGTCGATTTGTTTGTTGGTGTTTTCGTAAAATATTTTCTGTACAATGAGATGATGATCGACATGATACATTCGATGTCGTACTATTTGATGATGAACATAGATTGGCAGTATTATTTTCATCAATATCCTCTTCTTTATTATGTTCACCATTCATTGTCAATGAATATTTATTATAATTGATGACATTTTTATGAATTAAATTATACGTAGTAAGAGATTTTGGCGGTTGAATCTTAATCATCAGAGCCTGTAGCAGGCTGAATTAATTCTTGTTTAATGTCCATTCTAAAGAAAGAAAAAGAATTTTACTATAATATTAAGAAAAAAAATATTAGCTGAATTCAAAGATACATACGGACAAATAAATATATAGATATAGATATACACTTGTCTATGCTAGCCTACATGTTCATAATGTCGTTCTGTTGCGACTACCGTATATTATTTGATACTCGTCATAGGGAGAAAAGGGAAAAACTCGAATAAAAATAGGGGACAAGATGTGTTTCTTTTTTTTCTGACATAGAGAAAAAGCGAACATGAAATAACGAAGGAAAGAAAAATATCTAAATCCCTGTGAGCGTCAAAATCTAATGAAATTGACAAGTAGAGGATGAATATCGCTGATGAAGACTTTTAATGATAAGGCGATTACGTCCTCGGTATTCAGCGCACAAATCTGTCTTCTAATGAAATGGAGCCTTGCTTGTTGATTACTAGCCTCGAATTGTCATTGTATATAACTGTGTGTGTGCGCGCACAGAGAGGACAATAGCGAGGATGAGAAAATGTAATTTCCCTTCTCTTATTCGACGAGAATGACTTTGACAAGCAGCATGCACATGCCTGCACGCACACATACGCAGAGATTGGCGTCACTGCCTTGTTTTCATTCTACTTCGCAGTTTCTATTCACGATCTATTTTTAAATATATAACAAGAAAGAGGAGAGAGAGAGTATGAGCGAATCTATAGAATGTTTTAAAATACGTCCGAAGAAAAGAGACAACTATAATCATAATAATAAATATTCGTTATATTTCTTTTTTCTTTTGAAGATAAGAAAAAAACAAAGAACCGATGGCTATACACAAAATTGAAGAAAAAACAAATGAATGAATAATGTACGTGAATTTTCTTTTCTTTTGTGATTTTACTTTTCAAAAAGGCAATACAAACGATTCTTGCTGATATGTAAATAAAGGAAACAATGATTTCATGCTGCTGGAGTACAAATATAAATCGTACGACTTGATCATTGGTAAGAAAAAATAACGATGAAGATATTACAACAAAAAGAGAACCAAATGAACTAAATTATCATTACAGTATACTATATGATAGAATGTGTGTGGTTATGCATATATATATATATACCCACTGTTTTTTTTATAATGTTGATAATTATCATAGGAATTCGGATGTTTCTGGAATCATGATTATTCTTATTTATAGTGTCGATGTTATAATACGAAGAGAAAAAAGCATCAGCTTTACGTCGTTAGAAAATGATGCCACGAACGAAGAGCTATTGCAGTAAACATTAGAAAGAATAAGTAGGCAATCAAACATAAATACACATATAAATTTCTCTCGTCGCATCCTTTTTTCTATTCGACTGACTTAACACTATTCTTCTTATCGGTAATGTCACTGATAATGACAGCCGAATGACACAAGAAGCTCTCTTCTTGTTATTCTCATATTGATGCATTTGTTTTATATTTAGTAAGATGTGTTAATTGTTCGCACCGTATTTAGTCAAACAATTAAATAATCACGGTATGTTGATTTTATCGTTTGAGGTCAAACGCATGACACAGATCGTCACCATAAAGCCAATCACTAATATACTATTGCGTGCATTTTTTTGCTTCATAATACAGTTACATATATAAATATAATATCTATAAAACCATGTTCATAAAATGAGAACAAAACAAACGTGACACTCAATACATAGAACTGCACGCACGCAAAACACTGATCTTATTACCCTTGTCGGAACAATTTAGCATGTATGCTACATCATTTTTTTATGATCGAGTCTCGTGAGATACAGGCAGTCAGCTGCATGTGGTCGCCCAGCGGAAATCAACAACTGAATGAGAAAAGATAACTATTCTAAGAAGTTTCCAAAAACAACTCTTCCAAGTTTAGTACATTGATGATGATTATACTTAACTCACAGAAAATAATACCAAGATAAAAATGGATATCTTAAAGGATTTGTCAAGAATTTTTGAGATATAAAAAAAAAGACCGCTCCGTAATTAGGTGTTGTATTTCTTTTCTTATATATATATATATATATATTTAGTTATATATTCAAAGTAGTATTAATAAAATTTGACGTCATTCATAGGTGACAAAATAGAATTATATTTTCATTCATTTTAAAATTCCATTATGATTTATTAGATTGAAAATCTTTTTTTGTTCATATACTATCAAACGTCTTGTTATAATGTGAAGTATATGTCAATTTCTTTTTTTTCATTAGTTTTCTCCCTCTCATTAAACCGAATTTAATATTAATGATTTGTTAATTAGGAGTCACATTACATTTCTATATAAGGAACGAACTTGTAAAAAAAAGGGATGTCAAGAAGTAAATAATCAATTCTCTTTAATGACAGCAATCTATAAATGTCGTGAAATCAAAATGAAAAGTTTATAAATAGCAAAACTAAACTCTTTCTTTTTGGTTGACATCAAAAAAATATTATTTATATCCTAAACGTACCTTAATGTATAGTTAATAATTATATTCAAACTTCTTTACACGCCTGACATATTGAAATAAATAATTTATTTTTATAACAATCAATTTTTATAATAAAAATAAAATCAATCTGAAATATGAAGAAATATTCATCGATCAGATATAGAATTATAAGAATATTTTATATCATTAATTAATTCTTAATTATTTAATATAAATTTCATTTAACATATTTATTATTAGAAACCATTACATAGACATATTAATAATTGACTAAAAACATAATAAGTTCATAGTCAACATTTTAAAGTTTAATATGTATCTCTATAAGTGCATTTGAAGAAGAACAAAGAAAAAACATCAATAGTTTACATTACCTATTATTTCGATTGAAAATAGAACTTTACCTTGAAAATATCATTCACAAAACAACTTAACGAAAGACCTTATTTAAACTATTTTTTATGGTAAATTGTTATTTATAATTAGTTTACATTTTTAATTTTCACAAATACTTAAATAACGTTATTTCCTGGTCTTAAAATAGTACTCATAGAAATATAAGAAAATAAGTTTGTATGACTTTTGAAGTTCTCTAAATATTATCTTGTAATTAATCATTCTGTTTTTGTAATTTAATAACATAATGAAATAGTAATTCTTTCTAGACATATATTTTCTATAATGATAATAATAGTGTTTGAAGAAATGTGATTCTAGCGAGAAAAAAAATTTTTTTAATCATATAATTTATCTGAAAATTATGCTTTTACTTATTCTTTTTTTGAATATACAACACATAAAGCAATAGGATATCTTACTTGTTTTGCTGGCATATTTTCCATCAATATGGTTATTAAATACGAACCAATCTACAAAATTGGGAATACATTGATCATTTATCAAAGTTTATGACGACAACAACAACAATTACAATATGTACACTTATTTCTATTTGTTCTTCTTTTTTTCTCTTGAAATTTATTTCGAAAAAAAAATTATTACATAAAATTACATTGAATGACTATATTATATATTGACCACACAAGACAGATACCATAGTATTAAAAAAAAAGACAAGAAAATCTGTTTTCTTTTTGTATAAACACACATTAATTGAGATGAGACTTATACGGAAACAGAAAATGACAGATCACTGTGATCTCCATGTATACAGAAAATACAAAGGATTAAATATATATATACATATATACATATACATAAACTAACCATCATCGTCGATAATATCATCTGTAAGGAAAATTTTTGGAGATATTACTTTGATGCGACGAAAATCAAATATTAATGTTAACATATAAATAAGAAGAGATGTTGTTAAAATCCATGCTGATATAATAGTACTTAAATGATATTTCCAACCCTACAGATTCCAAAAAGGAAAAGAAAAAGAAATTGTTTATATGTGCTGTTTTTTGCCACAATCTCAAATCTACATACAGGACTTGTTGGTGTCCAAAGTTTTTTTTCATTATCATATTTAATAACGGTAATTGTTTGAAAAACGAAAACTAAAAACAAAAAAAAGAAAAATGAACCAATTATTTTTTGCATGTTTTTCTTTGTCATATAAGTTAAGCTAATCAATTATTATGGATCCAAAATGCGAGTTCATTTTCCATCAAGAACATGTCTATTTTTAAAGCCTTAATAGGTTCTAGTTTTCTTAAAAGAAAATTCATGTCTCTTTCAGACTACATGATTATTGGAAGCATTAGAAAGTAATTAGCCTTTTCAAAGTTCTTATGATATTGTATTTTTCTTCCTGAAAACACTTCTTTCTAATTTTGAAAGTACAGAATGCAATCTCTTTTTTTTTCTTTTGTTCATCTTCGAATTTCACTTACAAATTATTATAAACGAATATTAGTAATATGAAATGAATAAATACTGATTCTGTAATACATACATCATAGTTTTTTAATTAAAAAAACCGGTCATACGTAATATGACATACTTTAGTATATCATTACTGAGAACGAGAAAATTAATCAATTGCGTATGTCGATACACATAGATAAGCATATGAAGTAAACAGTAATATCCATACAATCATTTATCTTTATGATTCACATGAAGACTATGATTTATAAGTATACAATAAATATTCTATTTTATTGTTCTAACAAAGAAATGTTTTCAACTGATCGATCGTTTTCTTACTAGATTATTGGTTATCGACCATGTTGATTCCCAATATGACTATAATAAATCTCCTGAGATCTTTATATATCAATTTTCAAGATTAATCAATATTTTTCTAAAATTGCTTTTGACCTATTCAGATTATAGAGCGTATCGAATTATTTATAAGATAATAATCTTTTCTGTGTTCTCAAAAATTGAGTTATAAGTAAAATAATATCATCTAGAAGATTTTTACATTGAAATGTTGATACGTATTAAAATAGCTGTATTTTCTACAAAAAAAAACAACCACGATTTGAAATAGAAAAAGTTATTGTTTTCTAGGCTATTCGATATGCTCTATAATCTGAACAGATCAAAAAGAAATTTTGATCAAAAGTTTGTTACTCTAGAAAACCTAAGGGAATATCTCATGATCATATTCAAAATCAGCATGATCGATAAGTCAGTTATATATTACCATTAATTTTAATATTATTACTTTAAGATCTTTATTTTCTATTCTATTATTAATAACAAAAAATTCCAAAAAGTACTATCATTTATTAAAATTTATAACAGATTCTAAATCATTATTTATTTTACTTAAATTTTCTTTTATAGGTTGTAATTACTCTTTTGCTTCACTAACATACGATCATGTATGACACTCATTGATCTATTTAAAAACAAATTGAAACTAAAAACTAATATTCATTGTATACATTCCATCAATCATAACTAAAATGTCAAAAAATAAATAAATAAAAAAAGAAGAAAGACATTAACATATGGATATAAATCTCGAAAGAAAAACCGGTTCATATGATATTGAATACTTAAACTAAATTTTAATTTATTCTTACATGAGAGAAGTGCTAAAGTACATATAATTGTAAGTATAGTTCGAATAATTGGTAATATTTGACTTGAATATAATAATGGTCGAATCCATGATGATAACAGCATTTCACAATAGAGTGCTACAACACTAGCAGTAAATGTTAAATAGATTGCTAATAATCGAACAGGAAATACATTAGCATGCTACAAGAATAATAAGAATAAAAAATATTTCGAAATCATATAATATTAGATAACTAACTGGAAAATTTGAAATAATACTCATACTAAATGCAGTTAGAATACCACAAATAAAAAATATAGAATTTGTTTGTAAATATTTTTTTCCACATGTTGGATTATTTCGAATAAGTTGAGATCTTAAAAAGAAGATAAATATTTATTTATTTATTTATTTATTTCCTTATTTATTAAATAGTTATTTACATTTGCCGATAACGTATATAAACCGTAATGAAAACTAAAATTCAAATATTTGTATTTGGTTTTTCTTTTCAATTAAAAATTACATACGAACAAAAGAAGCAATATTAATAATTTGTGAATAAATGCATGATTCAGGTGAATCAGTAGATGATCGACTAAAAGAAGAAAAATATCGATATAAACTACACGTTCAACTAACAAATCGATAATTGAATTTTTAATATGGGTTTTTTTATTAGACCACGTCTGCTTGGCCCCGGATCCGGATCAGAAAATTTTCGATCCGCCAAGCTCTAATCATCTGAAAAATGTGTAGGGTGTACTAATCACCGAATACGAGTAACCAGAAAACAGTATCTTTGTATCTTTGAGGCGATTATCCAATTCCGATTAGAAAAATTTAATTGAGATTATTAAAGTGCGGTTCGACCCGGTCCGAATCCGGATCTGAAAATTTAAAACCTGATGGGCCTCTATTTTTTATACAAAAACATTATTCAAGATCCGTAAAAAAAAAAACATTCATACCTTAAAAATGGAAATTCAAATTTTGAATGACCAAGGTTTACCGCAACAATAAACCTAAATAAAAAAAAACAATTTTTAATTAAAAGATAAAAAAAAAAACTACTTACGAAAGAAAATAAGCAAGTGGTACAAGTAAACAGACTGAAAGTGGAAATATATAAAGACAGTGTTCAATCATTTGATTTTCTTTTTTTTTTTGTAAAGAACAAATCTAAAAGCAATAAAAATTAACACTCTATCTGACAATTCTGCAAAACAAAGCAAACAAGAAAAAAGAAAAACAATTATCAAATCAAACCGGATAAAAACAAAATATCACACATTATCATCACAAACATAAAAAAACAACAACAACAACAATCTATAGGATATATTTTTTGCTTTGATTCTTTCTTTCTATTGAGCAAATAAAAATCACGTTGTATGTAATATACTGTTCAATTATACACATAATTGGCAATACCATTCACCGGGTGGTGGTTCACTTAGTGGAGGATTTAAACAATCCAAATGATAAGCACTAAAAATAGAGTAGAAGATTTTTAATTGACTTATTTCTTTTTGTTATTAAAATATTTACCGATCACAATGATCACAAAAAAGTAATTCATCATCATGTTCAACTGTACCACATTGAATACATTTTTTACAATCAACACATTCCCATGAATATGTTTTAATTGTTTTTAAAATTTTATTATTTTCAAAATTAAGACATTTATATGCATGCATGCTTTTTTGACATGTTGAGCAATGAATAAGCTCATCATTATACAAATTTCCTTCACCACATATTGTACAAGTTATTAATGATAATGGTTTTGTTTGAGATTGAAGAGAAGATATTAACTAAATTAATCATATGATTAATATTTATTAATTGACAAAGAAAAAAACAAACATTTCTTAGTTGTCATTTATGTTTTTCTTGTCAGTTGAATTTTGTTTTTACTATTTATATGTCACCCTATGAGTGATAATAAGTATACATAAAGTGTGTCCGTTTTGTATTCATTAATAAAAATAATTGAAAAGATTTAATTTATTGTTTAGATATGTTGAAAATATTGTTGTAAATAGTAAATTGAATAGTTCAATTGATTAGACTTAATTAGAAATTTAATTTTTATATTAATCTATAAATGAGTTTATTAAACATGATATAGATCTTTGAAAAAACATTGTGTACTAGTCTCATTAAAGAAAAAAAAACAATTTTCTATTTGAGATTTAATTATTATTAATGACCTTGAAATAGCTATTGAAAAATTCCACAAGATAATTTATTTCGTGCTTTTCTAAGTTATTCTTTCTTTTTCTTTTTCTTTTTCTTTTTGTTTTGTGTATCCCATTTGACCTATTCTAGTTGTAAAGGGTATTTAGAGTTTTGAGAATCTAATCATTCAACTATTGTAATGGAATAGCTGTGTTTTATGATAATCTTATTTACGGAATAATTTTCAGTTTCCGACATCGCGATCTTTGTTTTATTAATCATGGCATAAATTATTATCTTGTCAAGGCTCTTGATAGTTTTTAGAAGTGTAAGACGCTAAAAATTTGACAGATAATTGAAGGTAGTCTGTCTGGTAGAAAGTGATTGAGAAAAGCTGTATTCTTAAACATGGTAGACAACTTTCCGAGAACAGTTCAAAATTTTCTTAGACACGCCATTAAAAAGTGGAAAAAGACTAGCCAACTCCAATCTTTACACGTCAAAATTTATCTATCTCATATAACTGAAATTAACTAATGTAAGTGACGAATTATTTAGTAAACTAAGAATATCTTTACTTTTTTAATTCAAACAAACAGTATGTGTATGAAGATTTTAATGTATTGTCATAAAGAAAAATAGAACTAGATAAACAATTTTTACTATCTCTATTTCAAACCAAATGTTTCTTAATAGATAAAATTTATTTAAGAAATGAAATTTATCAATAATATCTTAACACCACAAGTATATATGACGCTCCTATAAAAGACATTCGTCGACTACATAATTTTCTTAATAAATAAATCCTAAGTTGAAAATTACTACTGAAGTTTTGACTTGTATATATCTACCAAATCTGTAGTATATCTCTGATTAAATTCATGATCAGAAATTGTTCTTTCAAAATGTATCCAAATAAAAAAAACGATCGTCTACTATTATCTGATAATTATCTGAAAAAGTAATAATTAAACATAAATATATATATATATATATATATATATTATATTATTTTGTTAATATGAAATATGTGGAAACGAGTTTAATGAGTCGATTTAATAAAACATATAGATTCACTTGCATAATTATTCAAAGTGTCTGTTACCACTACTTAGCTAAATCCTTTCATTAAATGAATTCATTCGAGAAAAATACAAAAAAAAAATTGAATGAATATTCTTTTCATAGTTAAATACCTGGCTTTTATTCGTTGTTTTCTTTGACATTTTTGAATCTTTTATGACAAAATCTATATCATTTTTTTCTAATTTAATTTGTATACTATTTGAATCAATTGTGATAGTATCATCAATTTGTTTTGTTTTTTTACTAGATATAATTGGTTGTGTCATCACAATTGATGGTATATTATTTAATTGAATATCTTGTTTTTTTTCTGTAATTGCTTCTTGCTTGAGTAATGATACTAGTAATGATTCACTTTTAGAAAAATGTCGACGAGTTGTATGTTCACTAAAAATAAAATTTTAAATTAAAGAACTTCCTTTTATTTTATATTTAAATTACTTTTGTTCAGGTTCATCTTGGCATTTATTTACATGTAAATTTAATTGAGTTTTTGTTTTAAATTTTTGTTTACAATTTTGACAATTATAATTCATAAATATTCGTCGTTTATTTGGTTTATTTGATTGTATATATTCATATGGTATTACAACTCGATCTTCATGAATATTTAGAGTTGGTTCATTTTTAATTTCACTATTTAAATATTCATTACACTTTTGTTCAGATTGATTTATTAATTCATTATTATTATCATTTAAATCAATTTTAGTGTTTTTTTGTTCAATAGGTACTGTTGATATGTATGGATTATGTCTTATTTGACGACGGTATGGTCGTCGAGGATAAACATATACTTGATCTGTTCGTGTTATGTGCATACGATCAGATGTTTTATGATAAAGTGAAGAATTTATTTGTTGTATACCGGTTTGATTATCAATTGTACTTGATTGACGACGACGACGATCATGTAATAATGACTAAAAGAAAATCAAGCTTATTGAAAGTCTTTTTTGATTATCATAAAAAAAAAAGAACGAGAAAATTTTCTTTAGTTCTATATCCGTTTTGTTAGAGTAATAATAATTAATATGATATAAAGGAAAAATTTGTCAGATATTTAATAAGAATATGGATCATTTCAACACAATAACAGTGGCATTCTGGATTTCGAGAACCGTTTAATAGAACATTTGTAAAACAATTAGTACTAATTTATAGATAGCAGAGTAACAGTTATTAAGAAAATCAGTTAACACAATATTAGTACCATTGATAACGTCATCATCTGTATTGTGTATACTTCATATCCCTGGAGGTCACATATGTTTTTCTGTAATATGTCTTGTTCTCTTTGAATTTCCATAGAGCAATTCTATTTGTTTGCATTCCATTAGAATCAACGAATATATAATACAGGAAGTAAAGAATATTACAGAAAATAAAGAAGTCCTTGAATCAAACCAAAACAATAGACTTCGAAATCTATTTAACCCAATGAAATCCAATATTTCCTTATTCTTTTTTTTTTTGTTTTTGTTAATGTAAATATCACTTAAATAAACTTTTTGTTTATGAAAATAACAAAAATAAAAATAAAAAAATTTCGGCCTATTTTTATGTGTTACTATAAACTATTAGATTTTAAATCATCTGAAATTTTTACTTGAAAGAATAAATGTGCCATATTATAAATCAGAAAGTAGACTTTATCAGCTTAGTAAACACGCTAAGCTTGATGAGTATCATTTTCTTTTTCATCTTTCTCTAGATCAAAACAAATAACAAAAAAATAGTATAGAACAAGACAATTACTTGATTATATTTTGATGTTAATAAAATCGATTCATCATAATTTCTTCCTACAACTCGAATAATAGATGAAACTGGAATAATAATAGGAGATGTTGGTGATGGTATCATAATTAAATCTGAAATACATAACATCAATTAGCAGTACATATGCATATAAAGCAAGCAAGCAACTTCGAAAAAAAAAATTCAAAAATCGAACTAAACAATTTGTAATACATTGGACGGGATGTACATATATATATATATATATAAAGATAGCTAGAGCACAAAAAAAACACGTGCATTAGTCATGACAATCATCAATTCGTTTTTTTTTCTTCAAGGCGGGCGGCAAATGAAAATTGATCTGACCGTAAAAATTCTTATTGACCACCAGTAGATGCTTTGTTAGTCGTCACAATAACAGTGACAATAACGGCCACAATAACCAAAATTAATAATACAATAGTTAATGTACAAAGAAATTTACGTCTATTGCATTGTTGATAACATCTTCCAGCCTAAACAAGAAAATAGAAATATGTATGTATCAATACTTTTATTCATTGTAAACATGTAAAAGAAAACAAATAACCTTGACGAGTATAAAGAAAAGCAAAAGAATAATACAATTACCTTATTTTTTTTTATTCTTTGTGGTTTATTCGTAGAAAGATATAAAAACATAATAAACACAAGCATATCACTCACTCAATCTACATGCAACAACATCGAAACAGTAACAAATAATTACAACAACGACAAAAAAAATGACATACTGATGTTGAAGATTCTTCACCCAAATAATCACGGAGTGAATAACGATTTTCTTGATATCTTCGAGAAGTATTTTCAATTGTTATTTCATTTGTATATTTATGCATATTTTCAACTTAAAGAAAAAAAAACAAATATTCTATAAATAATAGTTTTTTAAATTGAATATAAACCGAATTCTTTTGAATATGAAGTAGCTTGAGAACGTAATTGATAAACATCAATTTTTTCAATTTCATCTCGAAGTAATTGAAGAACTTGAATTTGACTAAAATATTAATGAAATTATTTTAAAAAGATAATTGTCTTTTTTTTCTTCTTTTTTTTACTTTAATAATTCAATATATCGATTTGTTTCATTTTCTTCAGCTTCATGATTTTCATATGAAACTTCATCAGCATTTATTGTTGAATCTTCAAAACCCAAATTAACAACATTCGTACGATCTTAAAATTGATGAAAATACTTATTTAAATATATATTTCAAAAAGTATGAAAAAAATATATCTTTCTACCTCCAGTAGCTATTGGAAAATATACAAGTAGAATTGAGAATTTATGAAGTAAATTTTCATAATAATTTATAGAAGCCAATGTAAAACATAAACATTTTTCAAAACGATTCATTGCTAATTCTCTTTTTATACTAAGAAAAACAAAACAATAAATATCACAAAAAATATTGATTTGCATTATTTCTTTTTAAAAGTCTCTTCATTGAATTAACTTACGAAGTTGTTGCTGCTGCTGCTGCTTTTCGTACAAGTTCTCGTTGATGATAAAGATTACGATTAATACGTTCTTTAAGTTTTTGAATTTTATTTCGTAGTTTAGTTGTATCGCATGATGTACCGATGTAATAAATATATTGTCTAAATTTTCCTACGTCTTTCATACAATCATGTAATGCCTAAAAATGAAAATAAATCAAAATTAGTGTATATCATCCAAATTTTATATAAAAGATATTTCTACTTTAAAGATTTCTCCATCATCAATTAAAGTAGTTGTGGTTGTTGTAATTCCTGCTGAAGGTTGTCTTGATGTTGGAATTACATCAATTGGTTTCATCGATACAATTGCTGAATCGACAACACCGCCCGTTGAGGGCATTGTTTCCTTTTTCGAAATGTCAAATCCTTTATTCTTCCTTTTTTTTCTTCTTTTTTTCTTATCTATTCAGAAACTAAAGACTTCGATATATCAAGAAAAAAAAAAGAAGAGGAAAAAAAATTACATAGAACGGATAAATTTTCTGTCGCTACATTCAAAAATACATATGACAATGAATGTAGCGCTTGAATTGATTAATTTTTATTTTATTGAAACTTAATCAAAATTCTTATCGAAAATTATTTCAAAATAAATTAAAAATTTTAAATTAGTATTTTTATTTTTCCTATAGATGCCGTTATATGACGGTCAGAACATTTTAAAAAATTGATTAAATGAACAACTTCAGTCTCTTTCATCTTCATTTGACATGACACGCACTCACATATTTGATTATATTGATTACAACATTACCGAAAAGAAAACTGAGATCTTATCCAGAATTTACAATAAAAGAAAAAAACAAAACTACCTACGCAAGTTATATTTATCAAGATCATTTCATTTAATAATTTTTATTTATTTAATTTTTTTTCCTTTACATGATTTAACTAAGTCAATAGATTATTTCAGTTTAAACTATTGTCATTAAAAAGAAAAAACAAATCAAAAATCAGGAATAATCCTTATTATTTCATTAAAACAATTATAACAGGTAAATTTTATCAGTGAATTAAATAGATATGTATTCACATATAAACATATCTGAGGCAAAAGAAAAAAAAAGGAAATTTTTATGAATGTGTTTCAGTCCTAATCGATTCATTATTTTTATTATAATTTGCATTCGTTGTTGAATTAAATCTTGAACGAGTGGAATGTGTTGATGTTGTCATTTGAGATTGTTTACGTTGTGCTAAAAGAGTTGATTCAAGTGTTGTAAAACGTCGAAATGCTTCACCGATTAATTTTAATGATTCTAATCGAGTTGAATTTGATACTGGTTGATAAAAATCATTTCCTTTTATTAATTGTGAATCTATGGAAGTTGAAATAGTTCGATTTAAATCTGTTGTTATTGATATTAATGGAGGTTTAGAAGTTGAAAGATCAGGTTTTTGATCATCTAAAAGATTAACATTTAATAGATCTAAAAATTAAAATTATTCTATGCCATCAAACTAATAATAGACTTCAAAGAGTGTATTAATTTTTTTTTTCTATGATAAACACATATTAGTGATTTTTGACTATAAATAAAACAGTTCTTATTTCTATTTTATATTCACATATTATTTAACAAATAAAAACAATAATATTTGACAAGTATATTCATGAGATAATAGTCACCGTTTTCCTTGGAACTATAGTTTTTTTCAAGCCAGATAATGTTAGAAAATTATTAGTGCCAGCAACTAATATTAAAAGTGTGCGCGATTAGAGATTTAATCTAGCGTATTGACTGATAGAAAGGTATTTCCTGAAAGATTAACTTTACTCTTCCGTTGCTTGCTTTTTTGCACATACAAGAATAAAACTACTGCTTTGTCATGTTTTTAAAACGGTTAACTATTTTATAAATGACCGATTTCCTTTTCGGTTCTCTTAGAATATGAAAGTTTGAAAATTCATCCTTATTTACCTTGTTGAATATTAGAATCACGTGTTATTGTGCTATTGGTAGCTGCTGCTTCCGATAAAATACTTTTCATTCGATTACTATTAACAATTGGTGTTTCATTAGAATTAGTCGCTTTTTCCTTATTTGTTTTATGTAATACATCAAGTTCTTCGCTTAAATCTCGAGTTTCATCACGCAATCGTTGAACAGTTTCAGTTAACTATAAAACAAGAAGAAGCAGTTTAAAATCTATGTAGTAAAAAGAAAATGTTTTCTTTGTTTCTGAAACCTGTTGTTTTTCATCAAGTTCATCTTCTAATAAAGCATTTTGTTCTAATGCTCGATTAAGTTTTGTTTCGAATGTTGATAAACTATCAAGTAATGTTCTTTTACCTATGATGAAATAAATTTCATCAATAAGAAAAAATAAACATAATATTTTATTATACTTCGTTCAAGATCATCATTTGTTTGTTCTAATTCTCTTATATAATGTGTTAATTTTTCATTTAAATTTTTACATGAATTTAATTCTGCTTGTATTTGATCAAAACGTTTATCGAATTGTTTTATAGTTTGTTCACTACGTTCACGATATTGTTCATTTTGTGTACGTTCAAGAAATAAATCTTGTTGTAAACGATGTGCTTGATTATCTAATTGTTTTAATTGTACTTCTAATTCTTGTTCATAATTTAATGATGATTGTTGATATTCATCAAATTCATTTTCTAAATGTTCAAAACGTGTACGATATTCAATATAACGTTTAAATGCTTCTTCAAATGTTGTTGGTTCATTATTATTTGACATTTACATATGAATCAAATCTTAAACTATATACTTGAATAAAAAAAATACATGGGGATATATGTGTCCAATTTCTTCTATTATTACTGAATAAAGAAATAGACAAGGAGAATCTTAAGTTATACAGAAGGATAATATCTCTAACGATATAACGATATGTCAAATTACAAAATGAAAAAAAATAAATCAATTGAAAACCATAATAGATAGAGAAAATGCGAAAATTAGAGAAAAAAAACGAAAGAAAAAGTTTTGATATTGTTAATGAGAACCATCAGATGTTGAAGTTGTTGGTGGTTCAATTTGAAAACAGTATATATTTAAAGCATCGCACAATTCTTGACATACTTTTATATTGTATCGAAGTAAATCATATAAACTATAAATCTAAATATAAAAAAGGTACAACGAAATAATTTGATGAATTTTTCAATATGATTTCAATTGAGATCGTCGATATTCTTAACTAATTAGATCGAAAAATATATTGTGTAATTTTAGAGAGTTGGACAGTGATAAGTATAAAGCAAATGATAAAGAATTCATAAATGTTTTAAATCGCATCTAGGTAAATATACGTACGACTACGTTTTCTGATGAGGGAAGTTCTGCAATTGATCAGTTACTTTTGAATCGAAACTATGTAGATCTAACTAAGATATGAACAAATATTGCGGTCGTCCCTCAAAAACAATAGAAAAACACATTTTCGAATTTCGACTTGAAACTTTGCATTAACGACAGTAGTTTATTGTGAATATTTCAGATTTTTTGATTTGCTTTTATCCTGAAATAAGACCATCAAATCTGTGGGCTTATATGAGCGATGTAAAAGACACACTATAACCATAGTTGTATCTTAGAATAGGAACGATGACAAGATCTGTAACATTCATTAAAAATTATTTTCTTCAAAGTCGGCCTCTGTATGGGAAGTTTCAAGTCGAAATTCGAAAAACAATTTTTCTAGTTTTCGTGAGGAAGTCCATGACATTCATATGAAAAAAATATCATAAAAGTGCAGTATTTCCACAGCAATAACCTAAGGGCACGAACTCTTACTAGGGTATCATAGTTCATTTGGGTCTACATAATGAACATAGTGTCAAGTCAAAATCAATTTCTCGATTAGAGAACTTTCCTCGTAAATCAAAAATATTGAGTACAAACATTTTATACTGTCTTCTCATAGTATTAAAAGAACTTGCCAAATTTCTTAGAAACAACAAACCTAATGTAATTATATTCTTGAGTCTCGTCTAATGCTCTAACTGTAAGAATGCATCTGATTTTACTATATTTTTCATATGTCTCGCTATAGCACATCGAATAGACTACTTTATCCATTGTTAATCTGCTTACATTTGAAGTAATATCCGTCTCGGAAATAAAGAAGATTGGATGTAAACTCAATAACTCAACAATGACAATAGCTAGTGACTTGCGGTTTTCAGAAATTGAACGAGGAGAACTTCGGATTATTTTTTTTTTGTCTGATACTATATAAGACACAATTATTTTAAAACCTATCATCTTCGGAAAAAATTTTAAAAATGCATGAAAATTCTGTTTCGTTTTAAGAAAATTTTGATTAAAAGTCAGAAAATTTGGTAAAAATCAATACTATGCTATATAATTTAACTGAATAGGTATGGAGTTTTTGTTTGCTCACAGCTAAGATATAAGAAGATGATCATGTATTTTTTTGAATTCTTTACGAAGATGATAGATTTTAAAATAAGTTTTTTCTTATATAAAAAAAACATTCGAAGTTCTACTCTTTCAATTGCTGAAAACCGTAGATCACAAGCTATTTCCATTGTCGAGTTATTGAAATTACACCCACACCCTTCTTTAATTCTGGTGTAGACATTAATTTCGTTTAAATTGTTATTTATATGTGATACTTGAGCTTCAAACATAAATCAAGAATAGTCGTTAATTAATGTTTGTTTTACTTTTTAATTAGAGACAAATACTTCGAGCACAAAATGAAAACTTTAATTATCAATCAACTTACGAGAAAAATCCATAAAAAGATGTCTTCTTTAATACAACAATTGAAATATTGATTAACACAAACAGCTACAGGTCCATAATAAGCTGTATCCCATGTATCTAGTGGACTCTTTGACATATGAGCTATCTATTATACAAATACAAAATTATATGTTATTAAAAAAATTATATACTAAAGACAAAAAATTTTTTCTAACAATTAATCGATTTGTAATTTTTGAAAATACAATACCATAACAAGTTAAATGAAGTGCTGTGTGTTCTTTAAGTGAGTGTGATATTGAATAATTAGAAGCAATAAAAGCAAGAAATATAAGAAAACCAATATGCCATACGGGAAAAATAATACTTGTACCCTTTATTTAAGGTGAAAGAGTATATTCAAATAAATATTTAATAAAAAGCAAAAAAAACAAAACAGTTGATATTTACAGCAACTGATGAAAAATTTCTTCCACATCCACCTTTTGAAATTATAAGAATATTATTAGCTGAACTCCATACTGCTGAACCTACCGCTAATAATCCAGCAAGTATACGAGCTTCAATATTAATTATGGGCACCTTTTTAAAATAAATATTATTATTAGATCAACTATTTATTTTGTTACACAAACCGTTGTAGACCAAAAATTAGGTGCTATACTACTTATCAAATAAATAGTTATAAATGTCCATTGAGCTTCAGTACAATCAATTCTAAAATTTAAAATAAAATAATTCAAAATATTATACTGAAAACTTACTTTCCAAATTTAAGTTTTCCCGAAACATATGTTTGCCAATGAGCGCAATAAAAAGTAACATAAGAAGTCATACAACACCAAAACATTGTCCATGGATAAAGACCAAGTTGTACAGCACAACAAGTTGCAAGTGTGACAAATACTAAAATAGATATGAAAATAGACAAAATATTGGCTTTTGATTAAGAATATAAAGTTACCAGTCGAAACTGAATCACAACCATGATCAAAAAGTTCGCCTAATGGTGTTGAAGAATTTGTGCGACGAGCTTGTTTACCATCAATAGCATCAAGTGATTGATATATAAAAAGACCAAGTGCAGTAAAAAAATACATCCATCGTGTACACTAAATAAAATATAGTTTATTTTTAAATAATAGTTTTTCAAACAAACAAAAAACTTATTCACCGGTTCTTTTGCACCATTTGTTAAATACATTAGTAAAACACTAGTACCAATATTAATTACTAAACCAACAATAGTAATAAGATTTGGTGCTACCCATAATGGACAATATTCAACAAGTCTTTTCCAAAATTTTTGCATATATGGATCAACTAAAGTTGTTCCTTCAGAAGCATATTTATGTTCTTTTAAGCGTTTTATTTGTTGTTCATTTAATACACTAGGTAAACATTGAATAGCTTTTCTTGCATTTGCTTCTAATCGGTCAGTTTGTTCTTTGATTTGTTTTACATTATCATGAAATAAAGACGCTGAATCTTTATGTGAATCTAGATTAGCAGACATTCTTACGGACATATCTAAAATAATATAGAATCAAGTAATATATACTGTTTGACATGCTTCAATGATCAAAATATTTGTGCACTACTTGATAGACAAAAAAAAAATTATACGCAAAAATAATGTTTATTTGAGTCATTCGTTTTAAAATTACGTATATCAATATATATTATGAGTCTTAACATTTTTTGAATAACAACAAGCTGATAGGACTTATGAAAACAGAAACATACGCACAAGAAATGAAAAGTCCTACCTGTAGAATGCAAACATACAATAAGAGAAAGACAAAAAAGCATCCTATGTCATGTGCATCATGCGTTCAAGGTCACTCATTAGCCCTGTTTTATAAATAGGTAATGTGCATCTCTATGTGTTTATCTGTTAATAAAAAAAAAACAAATCTCTTAATAATAGAAACCCTCCACTCGCTTCAGTGATTCTCATTATAACCACAGAAGCTTTTTATCAAGGAAAAAAATCAAAGCATTTCGCTCTCAATACACTTGAATATTATTTCTATTTTTTTTTTTGCTTCGTAAATATCAATTTATACAACATACCACAAGCAAAAAAACCAAGCTGCGTATCATATATATATATATATATATATATCTATAAGTTTTATTTCAATCAGTTATTCTCTGTTCTTGTTTTCTTAGTTTAATATCAGACGTTTAATAAATCCGTGGAAGAATTTACACAAGATAAATTTAATTTTTGTCTTATTCTTAATGGAATTGTTTGATAAAAATCCTCTATTGAATAAATTCGTGTCCAATCAATATTAATTGGTCTATACCAAAGTATACGTTGATTAATTGAATCTACGAAATTTTGTCTCCATCCTAATGAAAATGGACTATAATTTTTTAATTTAAGATATCTATAACGCCATGAATTTATTTTTTCATTTGTTGTATAACCAGTTGCAGTCTTAAATAAATAAAAAAAAAATAAAAATCATAAACAGAAAATTTTATTTTACCTGAAAAAGAATTGTTATACAAAGACTACTAATCCAAATTATATGTAGAAGAGCAATTGATGAAAGCCAAAGAACAGCTGGCGAACACTTTAACATTTGTTTCAAACTATCAATGATTGTTTCAGACGAAAATACATAACAATGATAACGGTAATCTAAGTTTAAATAATATTTTTATTTTTGTTTTAAAATATAAAATTTTCTATGACACTTACATAGATATGCGCCACGAAGATAAAAACCCAGACATAATGGTGTAAAAAATAAAAAACCAGTAAAATATCGGAAGTTTTTTTCACCAACACAATTATCAATCCACTGAAAGAAATCAAAAAACAAATTTCTTTGTTCTTCTGATCTTTTCATCGTATAGATAGCTGGTTAGATAGTTATTATTTCAAAAAAAAAAGTATTATGTTTGTTATTTAATTCATTCTTTTATTCAGTATATTAATATATATTTATATTTCATAATAAATGACACAGAATAAATCGTTCCATCTTTCTTCTTTTTTATAGAATTGTTAAATGATCATTTCACCTTTTGTTGTCATACTAGAGAGATAGATATTACAAAAAACTAATATTAATATTTACTCTGCTACAAAAGTAGACATTTATCAACGTTAAGTGTTCTAATATTTTCTTCATATGAATTATTGATTTGTTTTTTCTAATCAAATGACAAGACTAGAATATATGACTACACGTCCACTATTGAATATTTATAAAAATCTTCTAAATAATCAGTAAGAACGTAAATCTATACCTTTCTTCATTGTATGTTAACAATATATGTCAAATTAAAATGACATATTATTCCAATAAATTCCTAAGTAAATTATATTTTCATGGCTTTCAATGCTAGTTTGAGGAAAAAAGGTAATTACTTACCTGATAAACATGCATATTAAGCCTTTCACGGCGAAATTCTTTTTTCACAAATCAAACAAATGAGACACGAAATTAGTTTAAGTGAATTGATTTTTATTTCTAGTTAGCGTAATCGATCTTTCACAGACTGGTACGACGCATTAGTATGTAGCTCTTACCAAATCATCGATCAATGATAAGTGGTATGCATTAGTAATCTGAGCTATTCCGGAATGGGAAACGCCTATATACATGTGCCATCCCAAAAAGGTTTAAATCAACTACCTACTCCATCATATCCATCAACACTTCGATAACATTTCTTTTGTAAATATTTTACAATCTTTATTTTAGTAAATATTCTTACCGGGCAATGATGATCAAATTTTGCAATACATCTATGACATTCTCGACAATGTTTTGATCTAATTGGTCGTCTTATCAGACATGATGTACAAAAAATTTCATAATCAAATAAGTTTTGTTCAATTAATTGAATAATAATCTACAACAGAAAAAAAAAATTTTTGTTTTTTCACTATTATATCTCGATATTTTTTCAAATATATTCATTCTTACTCTATATCGTTGTTCACGATTATTATTAATAATAACACCAGGATCACTTTTGATTGCAAAATAATAATTTTTCCATGAAAAATATGTACATATAATAAGACAAAAAAAATTCCATGATATTATATGTACATCTTAAAATAAAAAAAAGAAAATTTCTAATAATAAAAAAACAAAAGAAATATTTAAATTTCTAATCTACATTGAAGAAAATAATATAAATAACAAATATAAAGCCAAAATATTGATGCTTGAGCTATAGCAATTGGTAAATATCGATCAACATTATTATCAAAAAATACCCTAAGATATAAAATTTAAAAAACAAAAATCAGTTTAGTAACTTTTTGTTTTTTGAAAAATTTCTTACATCATATATCCTTTTGTTAATAAAATTAATGCAAGAATAAGAATAACTTTATAAATTAATGAAAAATTAAATTGAAATATACATGCAATAATAATTATAAAAAAATAAGGTAAAAATTTTGTTCCTAACCGTCGATATAAACTATTAAATTGTAACCATTTTGGTAAATTATGATTTGAAAATCGATATGATGATAAAAGTGAAGCTAAATTATGATTTGTTGGTTGTCTTGCTACTAATTCATACGCATCTTCATTCTTAAAACAAAACAAAAAAATCTGTATTCCAAATGAATCAAAGAGAAATTAAAACGTATACATCATAGTTACGTATGTCAGTTTTAGCTCCAGCATCAAGAAGAATTCGAATAGCTTCGATATTTGATCCAATAATAGCATAATGAAGTGATGTAAATTTATTAAATGGATTTTGATAATTTATTTGTGCACCAAGTCTAAACATTTTCATTTCTTTACTTTTAACGATTTATTTCAACATATAAATTTACCGAACAAGTAATTGAGTTGGTTCACGATTTTTTACTCTTCTAACAGCATGCATTAATGGTGTCATACCATGTTTATCAAGTAAATCAATATCTTGTCCTTTAGCAATTAAATATGCAACAATATCTGTATGACCAAACATACTAGCAAGGTGTATTGATGAAAAACCTGTTTTGAAAGAAAATTTCTTTTAGACAAAAAAAAAGCATTCGTTTTCATATTTTTAATTTTACCTTCACCATCAAATAATGATGCTTGTGCATTATGTGATAAAAGAAAAATAACCATTTGAAGTTTATCGTCACGTATAGCCCAATGTAATGGTGTTGAATTAAGTTCACCGCCGAAGACATCAATTTGTGCATGTTTATTTAATAAATATTCTGCAATTTCAATACGATTATTAATAGCTGCCCAATGAAGTAATGTTATATTATCATTAACTGGCGTTATAGCAAGATTTGGTTCAGGTTCAATTAATTCAACAACACGATCATAATAACCATATTGAACAGCACTGATTAAAATAAATAAAGAAATTTATTCATTTCTTTGTTTATTTTCAAAATAAATTTTATAACATACGAAACTAAATCAGCTGAATGAGGATCAGGAACTGGTGGATCAATAATCATTGTTGAACGTTCAACAGGATATGGTGGTGGTTTATTAATACCACCGTTTGTTAGACTCGACTGAAAATGAAATAAGAAAAAAAAATGAAAGTATATAAAAATATTAAATGTATTTTACTTCAATTGACTTCATGTCACCGCAGGTGCTCTTGTCATTTTAATATTTCTGTTACTTTTTGTTTGCTTACACCTATATTATTTCAAATGAAAAATATCAAATAAGTAAGAGAACATGAATTAGTTTTTAAAAAGAATTATTTCTCTCATATAAATAATGAATGCATTCCAATTGTAATAATGATAGATTGAAAGAATTTTTCTTTTCTAATGCTTTAAGATGATGGAAAAACTATGTGAAACGCAAAAAGCTGGAAAAGATTAGATCATATTGTTTCTTATTCGTGCAAACACTAACTCGAGGTACTAAAAGAGGACGCTGGTGTATTGAAAGAACTAATCAGATGAAATATGATTCGTTTATATCAAATATCTTATAGATAGCTAACTAGCTATTCACATCATCATCATCTTTGCATTAATAAATAAAATCATCAAGTATCTAATGCTATTTAAATCAATGTCACATCAAGTTACATTGAATTTACAGAGAGGTCTACATATATGAATATGTAGAAAGTATTAATGAATGACTTTTAGATAATACCAACTTTTCAAAGAGATTATAGTGATTAGTCTATGACAAGTATACAAAAATGGCAATAACAAACATCTAAAACTTGATTACTACTATTTATAAATGTTGTTATTTCTTGTGGATTTCTTCTATATATTTTGATCTAATTGTTTCTATGATTCTTAGTAAACTGATAGCAGATATAAAATGACGAACACGTATGCTTATTATTGATCTGTATAAAGTCGTTTCGATATTCACTTTAATTTTAAACAAATACTGAATGAAGTAATACCCATCAATGTTTCGTTAGTAACTGGTTTGGTAACGATCTGCGTTAGTGATCAGATGACTTAGTAATGAATTAATTATTTTTAAAAAAATATTCTCTGGGGACTCAATCGTATTAGATCTAGATCTGTTTTCAATCATGAATATATTCGATAATATTCTAATCAGTGAATTTTTTCTGCGGGAAACTTTCTTCGGCGACAATGGAGTAATTCTTACGAAGTAGCTAAGGTCTTATTAATAATCAATTTCTTTTACTAATGCATTGTTTACTGAAGAAAGTATTTGTTATACAAAATAAAGCCATTTTAATAGAAGAAATAGGAAGGAAAAAACAACAGTCGAAGATTTTTCATGTTCTTCACTGGGAAAAAAACTTTGAATCAGCTGCTTCAATTTGACTTCACGTTTTGGAACATTAGTACGATACGAAAAATATAGTTACTAAATACATGGAGAAAAGTAAGAGCCCAGACGAACAAATTCGTCAAAGTGCTTGGATCAAAACAATAAATAATATTAAATATCATGGTGTTTGACATTGTGGACTTGTTTCTATTGAAGTTTTTGGAGGTGGTATCCTATTCCTCCTAGTGAGTAAAACTCTTTGTAAATGGTTTGATAAATTGTTTCTTTTACTTCGTCAAATTTATTCTCAATTAAAAGCAAAAATTGCTTGCTCAGTTGTGGGCAATCAAAGATCTGGTCATAGAGTTTTATAAGAATATTATGGAAATGAACAAGCTAGCGATAACAACAAATAGAGTAGCCGGATGTGTTATGGGATAATTTTCGATTAACACCTACCAATCTATTGAAATATCTTTGAAAACTCTTAAGCAGTTTTTACAGCTGTGCGGTACAATGGTTGTTTTTTATAAAACAACGATTTACCTTCGAAACGGTGAAACATGCAGTACAAATATGTAGGTCCATTTCTTATTATTTAGGATTGCTCGATAAAGTCTGGCATTTTGTTTTAAATTGAATTTTAAATTAACCAAACAAATATTGTATAAAAACTTTATTAACATTTTATCTGTTTGGAATTTTTAAATTATTATTCAAATTAATTATTAATTAGTTTTTTCACGTTCATTCACTTTTTTATACGTATATACTCATATGTAAACAAGCATGAATCAAGAATAAAACAGAAAAACAAGCGATGTTTTACATGATTTTAATTATAAAGTATTTAGAGTAGCAATCGTGTGATTTGAACCAGATTTTATAATTGCATTCCATAGAGAACAAAAGTCGGAAAGCAAATTTTTTAAAGTTCCAAAGACTAATTACTTTATTATTATTACCAAGAATGGACAACGATTGTAATCCTACAACCCGACCTGAGTCCCAAATTGATGAAGGCTTATTTTTCCTAATGCACTATACCGCTTTCTATATATTTTTTCGTGATTCATTTAAAAACCAATATGGTATAAATCTATCGGTTTATATTATCTATCTATATTATAGCAATGTTTTCACAACTCTGAAAGGATTTTATGATTTTATCGTTCATTTCTATAATATGAACAAATTCATTGGAGTTGAAATAGATCATTATACCGACATACTTCGAAATAACTGTAAACATTTAAGTGATATCGCCTTAAATAATGCTAAGGAACTCTAATAATTTTACTGTATTCTTTTATTAAATTTTTTGAAAAATGTTAAGTCATAACATTTGATGTAATAGTGATAGAAGATTTGTTTATTGCTTTGCCGTTCTGAGACGAACATTGAAAATGGTTTTAATTTCAATATACTCTATGAAAAGAAAACAGATGTTAAGAATGAATTGTGTACATTTCTAAACACTTCCATCGCTAAGACAGAGATGAAGGTACATACAATCATTTTTAAGTCATGTATTACTTTATTAAATAATGCAACAATGTTGAAATAGTTTCTTAGTAATGTTGAAGTCTTGACATCTGGTATCTCATAATTATATAGTATTATATTGATTATATAATCTGCCTAAGTTTCAAAAGGTTTGCTGATATTTTTAGAACTAATGAGATGTTCTGGATAACATTATAATTTTTATCAAAGGGGAAACGACTGACTTTGAACTTTTTTGACTTAATTGACTTAAAATGACTTTTATGACTTTTAAAGTCATGAAAGTCATTTATTTTAAAAACAGTATATCGCGCTTTATTCGAATGTTACTTTTAATTTTGACATCCTTCAGTTTTGTAAACAACGAAAACAACCATAATTTCAATCTCTGCTCTCATTGCTCTCATAATTCGTTGAAAACTTAGGTGACGTTAAGTCCAGATTCGACTATTTATGAGTAGAATTCATTCAGAAACTTGTTCTAATGTTGTTATTCTTATTTCAGATACAACTCGACGAGATCTATCCAATGGCATAATTAGATTTTTCATAACTCAAAGCATGCCTTAGAGAACTTCACAATATTGAAACTTCACTATTAGGATCTTGGAATCTACAAAATAACAACTGTTCATATTAGTCTGAGAAATTGTGACAAATTTCCTATTATTGTGTCAAGTAGAACTCCATAAGCTGTTTCTAATGGTTCATTTAGATTACTAATTGTTCAAAATATATCGCCAAAAATCTCAATATACTGGTTAACGGTTTATAACTAACTAAGTGAATTCCATTCCTCATATATCCGTGAAAACTCGTTACAAAACTTGATTTATAAAGCCTGGTTTCTTTCTATGTGATAAGAAACAGGCGCTGATGAATGGTTTTCCTCGCAGATTAGACAAGATGAACCTAATTAGAGATGAAACGATATGCTTCCATTAGCCGTTACCTTGCATAAGAATGGAAACTTAGAAACAGATTCGTCCATAAGGTGAACAACTATTAATTTAAGCATTTCAAGATCGGCATAGTGAAATTTCAGTATTGTGAGGTTTCTGAAGAGATGTTTTAAGCTATGGAAAATCTAATTATACCATTGGATAGAGTTCATTGAGTTATAGTTTGAATGATAGTATGACTTTTGGGACAAACTTTTAAACGAATTCTGCGCAGTTGCACTGAAATATATATATCTAAACCCTAAGATAAACTTCAAGTATTTTGAGATTTGTCGACGCGTATTTTGAGTTATGAAAAACTCGTATATACCATTGAATAGAGCTCGTTGAATTATACTTAAAACAAGAATAACAGCATTGGAAAAAATTTCTGAATGAATCCTGTTCGTAAATACTCGAACCCGCACCTGACTTCACTTACGCTCAAGTACCTAGAATTTTGAGTACTGCTGCTTCATCTGAACTGGCAAGTTGACCTATAAGATTGTAAAAGCCATCATTGTGGGAGGTGAACACATCACAAAGCAATACTTTGGTATGCACAAATAATGTTCGAGGAGTCATAAATGTAAAAGTGATATGAACATAAAATTAAAAAAAATAATACATATAAAACATGTAACACAAACGGTACATGCGTATAAATGGCAAAGTTCAAACTAAATTAATGCCTAGCACACATGAATTATATATATATTGTAAGCAAAATTAGAATTCTAACTTTCATGAGTTAAAATTGGAACATTATTTTTGATGAGCCTCAAAACTACAAAAAAAACAACAATAAGGACAGAAATGGAGCTACGAATAGACATGTGCGAGACCAACTTTTTTTATCACGATTTCAATTCTGATTTTTGTGCTGGTGTGAAGCAAAATGCTCTAAAATTTTCTAATTTAAATCTTAAAAAATTCTTAAATACTCGTATTGTGGCCAATTTTGTTACGAAATGATATGATTTACCACATAATTTGCTAAAAATCAAGGAAAATTCAATAAAAAACTTTGATTTCCTGTTCTTAGTCTCAGTCTGGTTCCTGCAAGTTTTTATGTTTTGGTCTCGACAACTCTTTAGTTTTTGATCTCGCATATTTATCGTCATGATAAACGATGGTGATGCCGAGGACCGAGGTCTGAGCGAACATAAGGGGTCTCGATAAGTGTGATGAAGTTGAGGACAAAATCAGACTGAATAATTGTATAACATCATAATCTAAGTGAAAAACTAACCTTCGCTGAGAATCCTTTATACCCACTGTCATTACTTCCGCTCTCTCAGATCTTCTCCTTCACTCTCACCATCATCCTTAACTCCACTCGTGTTTGTATTATTGGTCTTCTTTGTTAGATGTGAAGTTCTCAAAATGATATGCCAATTTTACCTACAACAT